TTGTTTTCCATACATTACCGGTCACAGCAGTAGTTTCTACCTGTACTGAGGAATGCTCAGTCTTACCCACAGGCCCATCCCTTTTTAGGAATAACTTGAACTGTCAAGCGGGAACTAGTGGTCGGCATCTCATCAGTTAACCCTTTCAGGTCTGGATCCCGGAAACTAGTGGTTGCTGGGGCTACTTTAGCCTTTGGCTGAAATGAAAAAACAGAGGAACACGTCGCGCCTCCTTCACCCGAAAGTGAAGTAACGGGATAGGCAATAGGTTTTCTAACACAACTATTGTTTGTTTGACTGTTAGTACCTGGAAAGGAAACAGGGTTAGGCATTACATCTACTGATAACCTAGCCTGTTTAGTCACAGTGGCTATTATTGCTGCGGCACCTGTTGTTGTTGCTGGGTTTGCACAGGTAGTTCTGCAATTGGAGCTATCCCTAAAAAAGGATTTCTGGCAAAGACTTCGTTAATCTTTGTCATTTCCTCCATTAATTTGCCCATCTGGTCTGTCAGTTGACCAACCTGACGACGCAAATTATTTCCCCCAATGCCGTTTTGTCTTTGCCCATTAGAATTTGGTTGGGATGGCTGAGACTGTTGGGAGTTATTGGAAGCAGATTGGTTATTTCTGTTTCCATATCTCCTATTTCCCTGAGGATTCCTTCTCCATTGGGAATTGCCTTGGTTCTTATTAACCCAGGGGCGTTTATTCCCATTGGCTTTGGATCTTTCAGAGTTATTATCAGAGGAATTTGCAGAATTGCTTCTGGCATTTTCCTGTTTCTGAGGTTTTGGTGTTTTCAGAACCTCGGAATAGGTCCTCTTTTTCTGTTGGGTTTCTAAACCTAACTGAATTTTAGTCTCTGACACCATTTTATCATCAGGTTTCTTAACCTTTGGCTGATTTTCGTCATGTGCATGGTGTATAGTATACAACTTCATGCACTGACTGACTAGCCATTCTAATGGTAACTTACAATCGTAATCTCTTGCGAGATTCATTTGTATGTTTACCGGCATAGCATGAAAATACAGATCTTTGAAGTCTGTGCTTTCATACCTGGGTTTTCTTTGGGCCACGGAGTATGCATTTTTAAGAATTATTAAAAATTCTCTGGGGCTTTGATCTGGGCGGCACTTTAAGTTATAAAGCGCCTTCTTTGCAGAAGCAATGGTTTTATACTTACCATATTCCATGATTATTTCATATTTCATCTTGGACCAGGACATTAACTGTATAGCTTGAAGACTTTCTAGATAAACACGGCACATTGAATCAAAGGTCCATGTAATGAACCATTTCTTGTGAATGTCATCATACATGCCCAATGAATTCATTGCTCTATCATAATTTTCCAGATGTTCAGATATGTTTCCTGAACCTCTAGAAAATTGTGGGACAGTCTCTCTAAGGAATTTGATGACCTTTGGTGTTTCATAAACAGGCGTCGTTGATTTACGATCTCTGTTTCTGTGTTTGGGTAAACGTCTATGCGATCTGTCTGCTGAAGAGGAATTAGACCCGTACAACAGTGCAGATGGCATATCAGTTACATGGCCTTCAGAGTGGATAGTGCAATCACTTTCACTCCCATCACTCTGAGCTTCTTGTTCACTGTCACAATTCTGATCTGCATCAGAGTTCTGCCAGTGTACAGAACCATGTCTGTTTTCATTCCTATCACTTGAATTGGACTCTCCCTCTCAAGTTTGGCCAAGACAGCTTTTTCAAACTGTTCTGCCCAAGATTGCCAAGATGGCTTGGTAATGTCATGAGATGGGGAATCTTGTTCCACAGGTGATTTTTTAGAATTACTCACATCTTTACTTACAGACTGTTTTATGAAAACCTGGTTTGGTGTGGGAAAATCATAATAAGGAGGGGATTTACAAATAGTCTTTTCTTGCATTTTTGTGCAACTTTTTGGCACAGAATGATGACTACCAACCTCACTGTCTAATTTCTGACTCTCCTTTTCATACTCATCCAATTGCATTTTAAGCTGATTTATTTCCTGTGCATATTTATCCATCAAAGCTTTCATTTCTTTTTCATGATCAGCCTGACGAGTTTTATGCTCAGCAAGTAAATCTTGGTATTTCCCATTTTGAATGCCCAGATCGTCACTGTACGTGTCCAGTTTGGCATTCAGTGACTTGTTTTCATCACACACCTTAAGAAGTGCTGTCATAAAGAAAGGCCAAGAGTGTATTATGTACGCCATTTTCCTTTCTATGTTCTTTTGTTCAGCAATTTCTTTAAGATATATGATGATGTGTTCATCAGTTAGAATGGTGTGTTTAGCTTCCCATTCTATGCTTTTCAACCAAACCTCATAGGTTGCATCATTTTTCATATGTTTATGAATATGAACTAGAGCATGTTTTCTTAGGTCTTCAATTATTTCAGTATTATCTGTTACAGATTTATCACTGCCACTGGCCATTTTTATTTTTATTTTATTGATTAATCTCAATACAAAACTCTTTTCTATATTAAGATTAAATTGCATGAATTACACCAATATTATTATTATATATGAAATACAATTTCAACTTAAACGATCTCAGCACCGTGCCTCCAATATGTGGGGATATTTATGGGATAATAATAGTAACAGTGAGAATTGCCCACTAATTCAGTTCTCAGATCCCAAAGAACGTTTATCGTGTTAAGTGGAATGTATTTCATATAAATAATATTCACGATTTGTTATAAAAATAGATTTATTTATGATAACCAATAATTAATAATAACATGTAACATGCATGACAATAATCAATGAATATTCAGTATAAAATTATATGCAATACAAAGAAATGGGTATTACGTTACAATGGCTAAATAGCATTTCCTGTCAAGAATTATTTATGACTATCTTTAACACAGGCTGAAAGTGAAACTTTTCACAGAAGAACAGAATTCCTCAGAGTGCAGCGTAAGGTCGTAAAGTTTAGCAGACAGTTAGAATAACCCTTTCAATGCTGGCTAGATCTCCTAGGTAGTTAAGATCTATTCTTATGTAATTTTTAAATAAAATAACATTTAACCCAGTTCATTAGTCATTTTCTTAAAATCATCCAATAAGAGAATTTACCACATTATATAAGCAGATTTTTAATTTGTCTAAAAGATATCTATCTTAATTTAGAGCAAATCAATACACCTGGATAAAAACAACGGTATGCTAACACGTGATAATATCACATCAATATATAATTATTCTTAATTCCACCTGCAGAATGGAATGTTTATAACTATATATTCTTAGTTAACTAAGATTTCTTAATATGGAAATCTGACCGTGCTTTATCCAGTCATATATAATACTATTAATACATTTTAATTAATTTAATTTAATTAAATGAAACCAGTATAATTACCAGTTGAGTAGATATTTCATCCGATTGGTAGTCTCTCTGCATGGAGGTGTTGGTTAGAAAGTCAGTAAATTCTAAGTGTTAGAGTTTTAGGAGTAGAGTGTTAGTCTCAGATGTTATCTGAGTTGGAATCCCCAAACTTCCAATTCCTCTCTCCTCTCCTTTGCATCTCTTGCATCTGCCTCTTCTCTCGTATATCTTGTATCCTCTATCTTCCCTTTGTCCTAACTTTTAAAGGGCCAGACTCTCTGTACGTCATCAGTTGATAACCCAATAGAAGCACTAGAGGTGTGGTTATCTTCCAGATCGCCAATTAGTTATTTGGTCTGTAGAGGGCAGTCTTGTCCCACTAAACATACCTATCCAGGAAAGAGTTAACTTTTCCTGGTGGCTATTTTGACGTCATTTTGGCCTATCTAGATAGTGGCCATAACTTACGTATCCTTCAAAGATCAAAGGGGTTCTTAAATTTTGTCCAGACTATGTGTCTGCAAATCTGCTATAATTTCTGATATGACAGATCATGAACTAAGTTTACCCTTTTCCATACAATGGTACCTTATATGTATAGACAGTTAAATATTAAATTATTTAATCTTCTCTGTCACAATTGTCTGAGTTTAGATTTGATTATATTCCTCTTATCACTTGTTTATACTATGCATTCCTTAGCTCTGGCAAAGAGGCCAGTCTTACAGAAAGAAATCCTTTGTCTCTTTGTCTTTGTTAACTTGGAATAACAAAATGGAGTCTGGTCTGTTCAGAGTGACTCAGAATATACACTTTTAGTTTCTATCTTAGCACAAAATGTCTGCCGATATAAATACTCTGACAGGGTGGGGGCACCCTCAGGGCACTATAGTGCCAGGAAAACGAGTATGTTTTCCTGGCACTATAGTGGTCCTTTAAGTAAAACCTTTTATTCCAGTTAGTGGAAGGTGCTACCTTCTGTTCTATACAGGGCCGGATTAACATAGGGGCTGATGGAGCTGCAGCTCCAGGCCCAGGCCCATGGAATAGGCCCATTAAAAAAAAAAAATTTTTTTTTTTTTTACACACTACACTTAGTTTTGCCACCTTACTGGTATTTTAAGGCACAGCCGGTATTTGAGGCTGCCTGGCCATGACGGTATTGCAGTAATACCGGAAATACAAATGCAACTATTTTTCTCAGTATAAACGGAGATTACTCTGCAATACCAGCACCGGCCAGTAGGGGTCACTATGTATGGAACGAGGAAGGGATAGGAGGTTACAGCATCTCCCTGCCTCTCTCTACTCACTAATCCGCAACACAGCACAGAGAGACCAGACAGCAGCTCCCAGCCTGCAGAGACAGACTACAGTTCAGGTATGTGAAGGATGACGGGAAAGGCAGCAGGGAGACATGGGGACACTGAGACACTAGGGGACACATGGTGACATTGAGACATTAGGGGACACTGGGAGACGTGGGGACACTGGGAAACATGGGGACACTGAGACACTAGGGGACACTGTGAGACATGGGGATGCTGAGACACATGGGGACGCTGTGAGGCATAAGGAGACACATGGGACACGGAGACACTAGTGTTTCCATGTCTCCCAGTGTCCCCATGTCTCCCAGCTAGTGTCTCAGTGTCCCCATGGCTCCCAGTGTCCCCAAATGTCTGTGTCCCCATTTTTCCCAGTGTCACAGGGGGACACAAACATTTGGGGACACTGGGAGCCATGGGGACACTGAGACACTAGCTGGGAGACTAGGGGACTGGGCGACATGGGGACACTGACACTGTGATACATAAGGACACTGATGCCAGGCTGGCCTTCCAATTCTTTGGACAGACATGCCCCATTTTTGGGCATGTTCGCCCCTTTTGGCAGTTCCAGTCACGTGATTCACGTCAATGGCCCACCCTTTTACCCTGCCCATTGATTTCCTGCTTCACTGGACACTGCTGTTAGAGGGTATGGATTTACTTGAAAGATGAAAGCATAAATTAGAGAGAGATTAGCACAAAGTATGTGTTTTCTTATAGCTGCATCCTTTGAGTTTCCCTCCAACACCAACTCCATCAGATACATGACGCTTGAGAGGTATGACTGTTTGTTTTTTTGGTCGATAAGATTCAGCACCAGTCCCACTGGGTTCTTAATCTGGCCCTGGTTCTATATAAGGGCTTGACAAATTTGCTTTGAACAAAAAAAATTGCAGATCTTACATTTAAACATAAGGAAGGCTAGAATCAAAACCTCATGGTCATTTAGCTTAAGATAATGAATATATTCCATGTGACACACCAGATGTTTTATTCCACGTATCAGTTTTCTCACTTGGCTTTTCGTGGCCCTGACCATGCCTTGTATTTTTAAAGTACCAATGATTGACCGCCTTTGCAGGATCAATCTCCTTCACTGATGGCCCCATTCATGTTGGCCATTAACAAATCACCTAAACTTTCTTGCTGCATTGGTGATTTTACAAAGTTCATTAAGCTGAACCATTTCTCACAACATGCGGTTGAGACAGGCAACCCAGAAACTATAGACAAGTGTCCCAAAACTGGAGAGTGTCTATGTTGGATAGTGCCAAATCCAGAAGTTCATTCAGCCAGTTTCTGTCCTTTTCCAAGGACTTTATAATCATACCACTTTTTGTGGATTGCATGCATGCATTTGTAATGCATTTCAGGCAGTGACCGTTGATTCTGGAAATGCTGAGACAATGCTGAAAATTACAGCATTGTCTCCATAGTCTTGTAAGGCTGTTCCTGATGGCCAGGTAAAGGTATCAAACACTGCCGTGGAATTTTCAGTATTGCTCTGAATCAGAAATCGCTAGACATATTTAACACCATGCTGGATCATAGAAGTTGCATTATTGCTGAGCTCGTGAAACTGTACATTTTGATACAGTCCATTAAGTAATGTCCCGGTTATATATATCTCCTCCTGCTGCTTTGGAAGATCTTTGAGTGAGTTTACCGATAAAAGTGTTTTTAACATTGAACTCGATAATGCTTAAGAAGAGCTTTTCCGTTTTGAAATGAAAGGGAGAGGTTCTTAATTTCAAAGTAGCCAATCAGAAAATGGATCATGTGAACAAATTTAAAATCAGTTTTTCTGCAGCAACACTTTTTCAAGGTTGACTGCCACACATTTCCAGTCTTTGACAAGTGCAGAGAGAGCACTGGCTTTGCTTGACACCCATTTTATGTTCTGTAAGTACTGAAATTTCTTTAATTTTTTTTTTTCTGTAAACTTTCAGCTACTTGCTTCAGCTGTTTCATTCTCTTGAGTTAATACTGGTAAAATTGGTACAGCTTCTTTAAAACCGAGTCAAGGTTGTCAATGCATTTTCCTTCTACCACAGAGCTTAATACCCTTGTAAGTTTATTATTATTTTTTTTTAAGTGTTTTTTTTTTCTTTTTTCAACCATACACACTTACACATGTAAAATCACACACACAAAGGCAGATTCATACACATAGACGCAGTGATGCTTCCTAAAAGCGACACATGCAAAGACACCTGCTGCTCCACTAAAATTACTGCCTGGGTTCTTTGGACCCATGGGGAACCCTTGTTAGGCAGCCTTGGCCGCCACACTTCCATGCCTTTTGAAGTGTAGGGTTTTATTTGTGCCATAAACACTGGCGTACACAACTGTGACATGTTTACATTTGATAATTAAGAAATTCTAGAACCGCAAGAATTGTTTATTTTGTTCCATAGAATCTTCTATAACTGTTCTTTCATACATGCTGTTCTACTCACAAGATGTTCATACTTCTACAATTTGTGTACTGCCCTGCAGCTTATAGCCGGTGTCCCAGATTTTGTATATTTCCAGGGAAATGAAGTAAAAGGAAAACATCTGCCTCATGGGCAGCACTAGGTTTTTCAGAAATAACTATGGAATGCCGTGTTACTTGCACACGTGTGTCCTAGCGCATACTGGATTCTGTTGAACAGGAAGGAAAAGACCATCTCCGTGTTTGAATTGAACACAAACTGGCCAGGACAGCTGCTTTTAAACGACACTTTTGTTTTGCATGTATCCTCTGTGTCCTATCTCTAAAATAGCACATCTTCTTAAAGGGGAGCCGTCACTCTCCAGGATTTTTAATATATATATACTTTTATATCCTTTTTATCACACTAGGATTCTCTGTTCGTTTGATTTTTTACTTCACCCACGAGGTGTTCAGTGATTTAATTATATTTTATTTGTATTAATTTTCTTCAGGATATCTTCTATTTCTCCGAAGTGAGGGGAGGGAGGATTAGCATTTATTAAGGGGTGCCCTCAAAGGCCCAGTAGTGTAGAGACGGTCTGTACTTGCCTATCTATGCTCTATAATTCCCTTCCGCTCTAATAGACAATTTACTGCATTATATCTTTGCTTTCCCTCTCCGGTCAACTCATAAGTTACTATTTAGAATTTGTTACTTACTTTTTGTTACTTTACCTTCTTACATTTATTTTACTCTATTGCTAATTTCAGTGTAATTACTCTCCACAGTATTAGAGGGGACAGTCTCTGATTTCTTTTTTTTATTTTTTTTTTTTTTATTCTTTTCCAGTTTCCATTTACTTTTATTTTATATTTCCTTGTTTTATATTGCTTTATTCAGATTTTTTCACCACTATTAGTTTATATACATTTTTTTTTGTTCTGTAGGATTTATTCCTAATATTGATATTCTATTGATCCTCTTGAGAACACACACACACACACACACACACACACACACACACACACCCCCATGGGGGTTGATCTCCTACATGGTTATTTTTTGTGCTCTCTTTGTTAATTATTTATCCAATATATTTATATATTTGTATTTGACAGGTTTGGAAAAGAAAAATTAAAATGTAGAAATTAACACCTTTTCCTCTTGCAACTGGTCACCTCCATCTTGATTCCCTGTCTTCTATGCAAAGAAGTGGAGACATTTGATAATGTTTTATTTCTCTTCCTTATCTGCACTGTTTGCCCTGATTTTCCTTTTTATTTACTAAATCTTTCATATAAGTTTTAAAAAATGCATGCATCACACGTAAAAAAAATAAAATAAAAAATAAAATAAACCAGCAACAAACACCACAAATTCTAAGTGATTTTCACCATTTTCTTCATTGTTGTAATATCCATAAACATGATGGTTCCTATTTAAGGGGTTTATTTATTCCTATTGTTTTAATTGTGTTTGTGGCTTAGAAGTTTGCAATGCATTCTGGGTAATGCCTGGCAAATAAAGAACGTTGAGCTGCTTGGGTTGTCTGTTTGCCTTGCCTGAACTGGATTATGATGTAATTTGGTTTATCTTTAAATTAAATTTTAAATAAAATGGAGCATCTCATAAAAAAAAAAAGTTAAAGGAACTCTCCAACTACCATAACCACTACAGCTTGCTATTAACGCCAGAATATCCTAAGTAGGAGCTTTCACTTACTCACCTGAGCTAAGCTTGTAGTGCAGGGCTTTGCTCATTGGCTGAGAACGATCAGTTGACATATTTGTATTCTAATGCTGTCCAGTATTCGTAATGGGGTTAGGTAACTGCACCTGGTAGATCCCAGGTAAGAAGAAAAAAAACATTCACAAACTGTTTTACTACTAACAGTCGGGAATAATCACTGACATTATCAGTAGTGGTAATGGTATTTGGAGTGTTTATTTAACACAAATGATATGTTTTCAATGTACATTTAAGGCTTAGTCCAGGCTCATGACCATTTCATGTCATTTTTGCAAGCTGTACATAAGATATATCTTATGTTAAGCGATTCATCTGTTGTCTGAGCAGAATAACTGCTGGCAACAGATGTAATCTGCTTCTATGCTTGCAGGCTGCCCTGTGAGTTTTATTCTTATTTAATAATTTGTCTTAATAAATATTGGGCTGGACAAAGTTAATAGTGTCAGGGTGTTTATAAATGGGGGGGGGGGGGTGATTATAGTGAAAAGGGGGTTATAGTAACATTTTAATGGTGTAAATTCTATCATAGTGACAGTTTCTCGTTAAGGATTGTTAAACTTCAAACAAGTAAAATATTCATATTGTTTATACATGATAGCTGTCGGTTTCATCTCTCTTTCCACTATTTCAATAGTTTGGCTTTTAGATGTTTGTTTTTATTTTTTCCTTCAAGTCTGTTTTTGCTGTGCAGTCGTAGACTCTGATAGAGAGAACTGTTATTTCCTCTGAAAAATCTCCTTTTTGGAATGTCAGGTATAAATGTAATGTACTGATATAAACAAACATTTCTATTGATGAAAATAAAAATAAATAAATTGTTAACCAATAGGACACAATACCCATACATCTACCTCCAACCCCACACTTTCTCCCCCTCATACATTTACCTCCTACCCCACGTTCTCCCCCCATACATCTACCTCCTACCCCACACATTCTCCCCCCCAAACATCTACCTCCTATCCCACACATTCTCCCCCCAAACATCTACCTCCTACCCCACACGTTCTCCCCCCCACATACATCTACCTCCTACCTCCACGTTCTCCCCCCACATACATCTACCTCCTACCCCACACGTTCTCCCCCCACATACATCTACCTCCTACCCCACATGTTCTCCCCCTCACATACATCTACCTCCTACCCCACACGTTCTCTTCCCCCCACACATGCAGACAAACAGATACACATGCATACAGACACACACACACACAGAGACCCATACATAAATACATAAAGACATACATACAC